GGGTCTTGTCCATCACATCATTCTCCTAATGATGTGATCCCGTTATCAACGACATCCAATGTCCATGGTCAGGAAACCGTAACCATCAATTGATCAACGAGCTAGTCAACTAGAGGCTTACTAGGGACATGGTGTTGTCTATGTATCCACACATGTATCTGAGTTTCCTATCAATACAATTCTAGCATGGATAATAAACGGTTATCATGAACAAGGAAATATAATAATAATCAATTTATTATTGCCTCTAGGGCATATTTCCAACAGTGTTGTCATTTGATTAACGGGATCACATTATTAGGAGAATGATGTGATTGACATGACCCATTCCATTAGCTTAGCACCCGATCGTTTAGTATGTTGCTATTGTTTTCTTCCTGACTTATACATGTTCCTATGACTATGAGATTATGCAACTCCCGTTTGCCGGAGGAACACTTTGTGCTACCAAACATCACAACGTAACTGGGTGATTATAAAGGAGCTCTACAGGTGTCTCCAAAGGTACATGTTGGGTTGGCGTATTTCGAGATTAGGATTTGTCACTCCGATTGTCGGAGAGGTATCTGTGGGCCCTCTCGGCAATGCACATCACATAAGCCTTGCAAGCATTTCAACTAATGAGTTAGTTGCGAGATGATGTATTATGAAACGAGTAAAGAGACTTGCTGGTAACGAGATTGAACTAGGTATTGAGATACCGACGATCGAATCTCGGGCAAGTAAAATACCGATGACAAAGGGAACAACGTATGTTGTTATGCGGTCTGACCGATAAAGATCTTCGTAGAATATGCAGGAGCCAATATGAGCATCCAGGTTCCGCTATTGGTTATTGACCGGAGACGTGTCTCGGTCATGTCTACATTGTTCTCGAACCCGTAGGGTCCGCACGCTTAAGGTTTCGATGACAGTTATATTATGAGTTTATGAGTTTTGATGTACCAAAGTTAGTTCGGAGTCCCGGATGTGATCGCGGACATAATGAGGAGTCTCGAAATGGTCGAGACATAAAGATTGATATATTAGACGGCTATATTCGGACACTGGAAGTGTTCCGGGTGATTTCGGAGAAAACTGGAGAGCCGGAGGGTTACCGGAACCCTACCGGGAGAAGTAATGGGCCATATGGGCCTTAGTGGAGAGAGAGAGGGGCAGCCAGGGTGGGCCGTGTGCCTCCTCCCCCCTGGTCCGAATTGGACTAGGAGAGGGGGGGCGGCGCCCCCCTTTCCTTCTCCCTCCCCACTTCCTACTCCTACTAGTAGGAGTCCTACTCCTACTAGGAGGAGTCCTACTCCTACTAGGAGGAGGACTCCTCCTGGCGCGCCAATAGGGGCCGGCCGGCCTCCTCCCCTTGCTCCTTTATATACGGGGGCAGGGGGCACCCCTAGACACACAAGTTGATCCACGTGATCGTATTCTTAGCCGTGTGCGGTGCCCCCTTCCACCATAATCCTCGATAATATTGTAGCAGTGCTTAGGCGAAGCCCTGCGACGGTAGTACATCAAGATCGTCACCATGCCGTCGTGCTGACGGAACTCTACCCCAACACTTTGCTGGATCGGAGTCCAGGGATCGTCATCGAGCTGAACGTGTGCTAAAACTCGAAGGTGCTGTAGTTTCGGTGCTTGATCGGTCGGGCCGTGAAGACGTACGACTACATCAACCACGTTGTGCTAACGCTTCCATTGTCGGTCTACAAGGGTACGTAGATCACACTCTTCCCTCTCGTTGCTATGCATCACCATGATCTTGCGTGTGCGTAGGAAAATTTTGAAATTACTACGTTCCCCAACAGAAACTATAATAAAGATGCAATGTCAATCGATGAAGGAATTGATTTCTTTTTATTTTTGGGTTTGTAGTTGCCTACTCCCTACATCTGGAAATACTTGTTGGAGAAATGGATAATCTTCGTTAGTCTTCCTCATTCATAGAGACAATCTCCATGATATAGGAGAAATCACAAACAGTGCTCAAGCGAACAACCACCACTCCAACGGGCCCATGGCCAATGAGGTGGTGACCAACTGGCCATGCCTTGAAGGTCACTTATCTCTCTCACGCACGCTCATTGAATGAAGAATTTGGGTTCCAGACCATGCCTTGTCCCTCTCTACCTTGAACCTGACCACCCTCTGGAACTAACAAGCTGGGCAATCATGCAATTTCTTATGCTCCAATTCTTACCTTACCTCAATCAGAGCATTATCTTCTTTATCCTTAGGTATATAGTGTTATCTTCTTCTCCTCCAAAACTTTCTCAAGTTCAGTTTGCAATTTCCTAAGCTCAACATGTGGCTTTTTTCTCTTAGTAGATAACTGAAACTTTTCTTCAACATAACCAACATTATCGGTAATTCTACCTCCTTTCTCATGTTCATACATTCTCCATAGTTTGGTCAGTGCTTTCTTGAGCATTGGTGGACACTCTAAATCAAACCACTGGATACAATAACAAATTACTCCTTCATTCCTACAAATTCAAAAAGCAATACCTACTTAACATAATTGATTACATAAATCCCTACTATCTATACTACATTGCCTACATTGTCCTACTATCTATACATAGTATGACTTGAGAATAATCAACGGACAACAGAATTCATGATATCTTCTTTAAGTCAGTGGCCAAGAATATATATAATCAGTGGGCCACATATAAAATCGGTAACTTCCAATGCTCCCAAAACCTCCTGCATGTGTGCCATCCATCGAAGGCTACAAATTTGGCTTTTGTGGCTCAGTGATGGCAACGGGGAGGTACTTCTCCATCGGTTAGTCCTCAAAAAACTGGAGTCATACATGGTGTTGGGGCTCTAACAAGTCAAAAATACGTGTCATTTCAAAGAGAATCGAGCTTGAATCCAAAATCCACAAATCAATTAGAACCCTAACCCTAGAAACTAGAGATGTGGTACTCACGTGGTTGCCAAATGATCCATTGTCATCACACGATTCCCTCCCATTCCCCCATGAAACCATGGCAGAAATGTGGTAATGACGGCTGGCGGGTGCAACAACGACGAGATAGGGGCATTGAAATGAGAGAGAGAGAGAGAGAGAGAGAGAGAGAGAGAGAGGAGCACGGGCAAATTGTTTTGGTGGGGGTTAACAGCTAGGGCTCACGGCCATCAGCCCCATGTCATGTATTGACCCGACAGGTTAGCCCGCCCTATCGACAAACATCTTAAAACGTGATAAGCCTCAAATCAGTGTAATTTGTAACCAGCGGGCCCCCAAATTTGTAGTTTTTTAAGGAAAAAAGAATAGTGGTAGTAAACTAGAACCCTAGCCCCAAATGTGGTGGTTTTTTGTTATTTACTCGGGGTATCCCACCCTAGTTTCCTCCGTCTTAGATTCACTCTGAGTTTATCTTAGTCTATTTTCCATATTTCCCAAAAAGTTCTTAAAGCGATTGATGTGATTAGATGTGCCTTCTTTTGGACATCTAAAGAGAGTTGCATGGGTGCCAAGTGCCTTATTGCCTGGATAAATGTTTGCAAGCCAAATTATTTTGGTTGTTTAGGCATTCAAAACCTGCATGTTCGGAATAATTGTCTTTAAGTTTGTCTTCAAACTATTTTCTTCACTTGATGGACCTTGGGTCCATTGGTTTACTTCACAACACCCACTACACCTTCCTAATCCAACAACCATTTTCCTTCCTCACGAAAATTACAAACGTCGACCTGCCCACACCACAAAAAATTCCCTTTGTCCTCACCGGTAATGGCCTCACTATGTTCTCCTGGACTGATACCTGGCTCACCCGCCTCCCCCTCGCCCTACAGTCCCAAAATTATTTCCCCACTCCACAAACCACCTAGTATTAGTGTCACATGTTTTGCAGAATAGTTTACTTGCTAACCTATAGAATCACCTAACCATGTTGCTATTGTCGAGTTGGATGTGTTGGTTTCATTGTTGCAGGATTTCCGCCTCGAGAACCAACAGGCCACAGAATCCTCAACCATGTGCTCAACTTCTCCTCCAAAGAAGCCCATTCCCACCTCATGGTTGAAGATGCCATTGCCCGCAATGTTGACTGCATCTGGTCCTGAAAAGTTTCCGTAAGAGTGAAGGTTTTCACTTGGCTACTCTATGATGACAAGCTCGGCACCAAGGCAAATATTCTCCAAAAGCACATGGGCCAAAAAAGCTCATGCCCGACATGCAACGCTCCAGTTGAAGACGAAATGCACTTATTCATCATTTTGCCATTGGTCCTTGGCCATTTGGCAATGAATGGGGATGCCTCCTCCTGGCTCCTTGCAGTTGCTTTGGGACGTTGCTACTCCTCCAGGACTATTTCCGGACATGTGGCCTACCATCCTACTTGCCATTCTTTGGAAGATTTGTGGCTCACCTAACAAAAAAGTTTAACGCAATGAGTCTCACCCCTCTCGCCTCACCGTTTGAAACATTGTTGACGAATTTACACTTTGGACTTGTAGAGGTTTTCAGAACCTAGTCTAAGGGTACACGTTATGCCTTGGTGTGAATACCTCTCCTCGCGCAACAGCGCTAACTTATCTCTTGTAACACTAAAAAAACTTGAACTTCGGTTCAACCTCTGTGTATCCTGCGCCATTCGTCTTGGGTATTCTCTTTGGTATTTTTGAATTTATCAGTTCCCAGTGTTTAGATGGGCCATGTGTGGTGTTGGCCGTGTGCATCTTAATCATACAGAAACTGAATGCGTGCTCGCTTGATGTGACATTATGAATCAATAAAAGTGGTCGTTATCAAAAACAAAAAATCAAATAAGGTAGGCCTCGCTACGCATGCATTGCTACTGAACCATGGAACGCGTGACTCAACCACAATGCACCAAACACAGGTCCACGCCCGCTGCCATCACGCGCAAAACACCAGGAACCGCACGGTACAAATCCCTCACTTCGCGCGCGAGACCACACACCGTCCTAGTAGTCAAAGTTGAACACAACGCACACATCCGCACGCACAAATCCGTGCACGAACCAACCGATCCATGGCGCCATGCCGAGCCACCGTCGTGAAGACGAGAGCGGTGTGCGTGCTCCTCCTCCTCCTCCTCCTGTCGGCCGACGTGCGGCCACAGTCCGTGGATGGGCAGGCGCCACCGGCTCCAGAGGTGGCCGTGACAATCGAAGCAGACGCCGACAGCCGCGGCAATGGCACCCGCGCCGGCGGCGCTGGGAACACCGCGAGGAAGGTGCTGAGCACCATCGACTGTCAGATCTGCGAGTCGACGTGCCGGGTCAAGTGCCTCATCAACAACCTCTTCCAGTGGGGCACCTGCTACCAGCGCTGCAAGGCCGACAATTGCAACGACTGGTGTAGGTAGTCAGCCGGCGAGTCACGGCACAAGAATGGAGCCGCGAATGGATCCCAAGTACAGCCGGGGGCTACATTACTATAGATGTCCTTGTGTCTCTCTTTATCAGAAAAAAAGATGTCCTTGTGTCCCGCCGCTGCTAATTTTTTTGGCTTCAACGCCTATATATAAAGATGACGCTGCTATTTTAATTTCATTTACATATAAACTCGAGCTCAGCGCAAACAATACAAACGTTGACGCTCACAAACACATGCACATTAGCACATACATTCATTCCTATGAATTCACACACCCTAAGTCATTGAGCACAGTTTCATTTACAAGTAGAAACATGAATGTTTCCCTGCGCCTTTGTTCTGAAAAAAAAAAGAATGTTACTACTTTTATATTGAACCGTGCGGTGCTATATCCTACATGCATGAGAAACTATTGAACAAGAAAATTCAACAATTCAAAAGTGTTTTCCTCGGACCAACAAATGAGCTAATCTATGTTTTCCTTTTTCTTTTTACGTTCACAAAATATATACTCCAGCACAAAAATCTAATTGTATTTTCTTTTGCAAAAATGATTCAGGTCTATAATCATAGTTCACCGGAAGTACAAAGCACCTCAAACATAATAAAATTACATGAAGATATCGAGACCACCGAACGATCTAATTGTATATACTTATCTCCAAGGCTCATTAGATTTAGAGGATTCCGACGGAACTTTCACCAACTGTATTTTTCTCTATATTTAGCATTCGTTTCATAGGAATGGAGACACTAGATTCCTAAAGATTGCATTCATATTGACCTGATTTCTAAGGGTTCTTAGCATCAGCTAAGACCTCATGAAGATATCTCAATGACTTAAGGGAACATGGCATTCAATTTGTAATTTGTTTTTCTTATTCTATCATGTAAACCAAACATGCACCTATTGGGTAAGGGTGTGGTTAGGTCCTAGTCAAGTGACATAACATAAAAAAGAGAAAAAAAAGAAACTAAAACATTTTTTTACACGGATCTCAATGTAACATCTCGCGGACATAGCATCGACTGAGACTTAATGAAGTCTCAATCGACAGACTTAGCAAGCCCGATTGGGTAAACCCATAAAAATGCACACGTTCTCGTTGTGGTTTGAGTTGCTTTTTATTCGGGGAATGTATGTACAAATTGTATCTGGGACGTGTGATATCATTTGTTTGTTCTTCACTAGAATGACGTATGATATCATTTTTATCAGTTAATTCAAGATTTTCATTAAGAAAAAATCTCCTTGCAAAGCATCAATGCTTCCTTCATAACCCTTGTCGCAAAGAAAGATTCTCCTTTAAACACCAATGACTACAGACCCATTTCTCTGCGTAACTGCACCACCAAAATCATCACAAAACTCCTTGCCAACAGGTTCCAAACAGTAATATTAAAGTTGGTGCATAAAAATTAGTATGGTTTTATCAAACAAAGAACTATTCAGGACTGCCTGGGATGGGCTTTTGAATATCTCCACCAATGTCATCAGTCAAAAAGACCCATTATAGTGCTCAAATTGGACTTTGAAAAGGCATTTGACTTAATTGAGCATAAAACAATAATTTCTATTCTAAAAGCAAGAGGCTTTGGTGACAAGTGGATCAACTGGATGAACATGATCTTCTCCTCTGGCAGTTCCTCTGTTCTTCTAAATGGTGTGCCAGGAAAAGTTTTCTTCTGTAAGAAAGGAGTAAGACAAGGTGATCCTTTATCCCCCCTCGTATTTGTTCTAGCAGTAGACATCCTCCAATCCATCCTGAATGAAGCCATGAGAAATAACCTTATCAATCCTCCAATCCCTAGTCAAGTCTGTCCTGAATTCCCAGTAATCCAATATGCAGATGATACCATCTTTGTCTTACTTGCCCAGTTAGTGCAACTTGCTCATATTAAAAACCTTCTTCTACACTTCACTGCTTTCACTGGTCTCAAGGTGAATTATGAGAAATCGATCATGGTTCCAATCAATGTACCTGAAGATGAACTGCCCAGTCTGCTGTCACTTCTTGGTTGCAAGTGTGTAAGCTTTCCTTTCACCTATCTAGGCCTTCCAATGAGCACATCAAACCAAAAATTGAATATTTCAACCCTATATTACAGAGGATTGACATAAGGTTGTCTGGATGCTCAACACTTTTATCTTATGATGGTAGATTGCTTCTGATTAAGTCAGTGTTTGCTTCACTGCCAATTTTCTACATGAGCACAATGGCTCTTCTAGCAGGAGTTATTGAGTAGCTTAACAAATTCCTCAGGCGGTTCTTTTGGAGAAAATAGAGGAGGGGGGCACAACACTTATTTCCTGGCAGAAAGTTTGCAAGCCCAAAATGCAGGGATGACTTGGCATTCTAGATATTGCAACCCACAATAAGGCACTTCTCATGAAGAATTTACATAAGTTCCTAAATTTGGCAGATATTCCTTGGATTAATCTGATTTGGGGGATGACTTGGCATTCTAGATATTGCAACCCACAATAAGGCACTTCTCATGAAGAATTTACATAAGTTCCTAAATTTGGCAGATATTCCTTGGGTTAATCTGATTTGGGAAAAGCATTATCAACATGGGCCACCAACTGATGCTAGGGTTGGGTCCTTCTTGTGGAAAGCACACATCTCTCTTCTGGGTGATTTTAAGAATATTATGGAATGTAAGGTTGTCTCAGGTGCTACTGCTCTATTGTGGCAGGACAAGTCGATGGGTGAGCCACTATACATCCAATTTCCACAGCCTCATTCCTTCTCCACAAATCATTCTATCTCTGTCCAACATTATCATGCGGCAGATGATGGTATAGACAACTTCCAACTTCCATTATCAAATCAAGCCTTCAATCAACTTTAGCAGCTGGATAATCTTTTCCCACGGTTGACAAATTCTGCAAATGATCAATGGAGCCATGAAGGGAAGGCTAATTTGTCCTCCATCAGAGTTTACAACAGCTTGATCCCAAACTCGGAGGAGCACCCAATTTTCAAGATGATTTGGAAAAGTAAAAACAGACTGAGACACAAGATTTTCTTCTGGTTAGCTGCCCATGAGAGAATAAACATAGAGCCTTGCTTCAAAGGAAAGGAATGCACTTAGATAACCCTCATTGCCCAAACTGTAGGCAGAGTGCTGAAGAGACAGTAATACACCTTCTGTGGGGCTGCACTTTTGCTCAGGACTGCTGGAATTCACTAATTCCTGGTAAGAAAAGAGGCACATCACTTTATGAAGAATTTCTCCTTGCATCAGAACATCTACCCAAGAAATTTTCCTCAGAAATTATAATTCTTGGATGTTGGAAAATTTGGACCCAAAGAAATGGCAAAGTATTTAGAGGTCTGCAGCAGACACTTCGAAGTTGGAGATATTTCCTTAAGCAGGATCTGAATCTGCTTCAACTCAAAATCAAGGAAAAGCATATTGGCAGTTTCAAGCTCTGGATCAGTAATAATTTGTAACATGTTTGGTTCTTTACCTAGAGAAGGTGTAGGTTGATTTATTTTTTCCCTTTGGCCTCCTGGAGGCTTGTATTTGTACTCATTATTTGGCTAAATATAACACCGTAGAACAATTGTTGTACGGTTTACAGGTCGAAAAAATCATGCCATGAAATGTGTGACTCAACCACCTTCCACCAACACAGGTCCGCGGCCGTTGCCATCACGCACAAAGCACCACGAATCACACGTACAAATCCCCCGCGCACTACACCCTCACTTCGCGCGCGCCACCACACAACGTCGTCGTAGTCAACATTACACATACCAGAAGTACGTACACACAAACCCTCACACTAGAAGACCGATCCATGGCGCCATCCCCGGCCGCCGCCGTGAAGACGACGAGAGCGACGTGCGTGCTGTTGATCCTGCTCCTGTTGGCCGACGGGCGGTCGAGGCCCGTGGCTGGGCAGGCGCCACCGGCGCCCGAGGAGGCCGTGGCAATCGAGGCGGATGCCGACGGCCGTGGAAACGGCACCCGCGGCGGCGGCAGGAGCGCCGGGACGCCGAAGGAGTTGAGCGCCATCGACTGCCAGGTCTGCGAGTCGACGTGTCGGGTCAAGTGCCTCGTCAACAACCTCTTGCAGTGGGGCAGCTGCTACCAGCACTGCAAGGCCGACAACTGCAACGAGTGGTGTAGGTAGCCGTCCGTCGAGGTAACGCGCCGACGGATGCATGACACGCGCATGGATCCTCTACAAGAGGATGTCCGTTTTCTGCGATTCATGGTGTTGCTTTGAATGCAGCAAATCAGCTGCTCTATGTTTTCCTTTTTACATTCAACGAATTTGTATACTTTCCACACAAAAATCTATTTGTATATATAGTCATCTTCCATTTTGCTGAAGCCATTGAACTGTTCTCACCGTAATTCGGGTTGTTGTCTTTTTCGGGAATATGTTCAATCTGTAAATCGGCAGTCCTGGATGTGTGATGCTTGCTCTGTAGAAGAATCAACTGTGTTGGCCAGGTTGAGCATCCTTGCTACGAAACAAGGGAACGTGTGACTCAGCTACCATGCACCGACGTGGCTCCGTGCGGCGGCCAAGCCACACTTTGAGCTGGCCCGGTAGTCAACTGACTGCATAGCCATTTTTTTTTATTTTTATTTTTTTTTGCGGGGGACTGCATAGCCATTTTTGTTGTTGCAACAACAAGCAGAAATCGTACAAAAAGATCTTCGAAATGCATACATCTGACTACACAACGATTTAGTTGACCACACATGATAGGCTTCCTGGCACGGTTACTCGGTCCACGGCCATTGTCATCACGCAAAAACACCATGAGCCGCACATAAAAATCATCGTGCATGCCACAGCGCGCTATGATACATCGTGAACGTTGCACGGACCACACACATACATGCATACAATCCCTCGCATCAAGCGACCAATCCATGGCGCCATGCCTGGCCGCCGCCGAGATCACTAGAGCAACGTTAGTGCTGCTGCTTATGCTCCTGTTAGCCGATCTGCGGTGTGAA